GAAGTTTTCGATATATGCTCGCTCATCTAAAGGCCCTCCGATTCACTTGAATTTTATACAATACAAATTCCAAATATGAAATATGAAATGACACACATTTTCACAGTATGCTTTCGACGGAATTTCTTTTTCTATATTCGGGCTTATAATTTTGAAAAATCATTATGTATAAACCGAATACGAAATCGAAACCGAAACCAAAAATCAAATTGGATTGGGGGCAATTTGAGCTCTTTCATCAAAAGCCGCATCAAATAGAATTCAAATGGTTTTGATGGTGATTTCAGTCGATCACCGTCAATTCAGTGTCGTATGCTACATGCATATCATAGATGTGTGTATTTGTTAAGAACATTGAAATTAGCCGGAGTTTGAGTGAAGTGGTCTGAATGAAAATGCTCATCAATATTTCGACGAAGTAGAAGAAATACGGAAGAAGCGCGCACACACACACACACACACACACTTCAATGAAATTAGACACAAAATTGTCTGTTGTGCTGAATTTGAGCACAGCTCGATGAATTGTGAGTATTTTTGTTCGTTTCATCCCTTATTGTGTCCGTATTTGGTTGATGTGAAAATGTATTTCGTAGCCGAATCTATCGAAAATACTAAATAAACATTCGACAACTATACGGCAATGGGCAGCACACAGCCTCCGCTTGAATGTGTGGCAAACATATTTTGATGTTGGTTTTATGAAAATAGAAGAAAAAGAAGAAGAGGAGAAAAAACCAACTGCTGTGGTGGCTTTGAATCCGTTATGAGGCCTCCGAGTTACCAACAAGCCATCAAACCATTAACGCAAATATTCGCATACAACCATTATTGCCACAAAGGATATTCAAGAGATATGCAACTGTTGCATTTATGTACAATCTATTCGGCATATGTGTGGGTGGCTGTATGAGTGCGACTGTATGTGTTCGGTGTGAATTAAGCTTGATATAAAGGGGATATTGCGTCGAAGGCAGAATCCCATTGTATCACAGCATTGTGTCTTCATATTAAAAGCAGCAAGTGATATTGATTTAGTATCCAATCTTTTATTCACAATAAGCAGTAAAGCTCATATGGCAATCGTATCATTCGACAATGGACAGGGAAAAAGAGATTAGAATATAACACATTACAACCATTAAAAATATATACACACACATGCATACATGCATACAATAGTGATAGAGAGACAGAGAAATAGAGAGAAAAAAATTCACTGAATAAATTGACCTTTTGTAGTTGCAATAATTCACCCTCCCTTTGCATTTGTTTCATTCAATGGAGTTCAGCGAAAGAAGCATAAATACGTAAACAATCAAATACCCAGCGAATAGACAGATGAGCGGATTCTGAATGAAGAGCAGAGATAGAAAAAAAAATGGTGACGCCAACTCTCTCCGTATGAAAGAAACAAACAGAACACGAGTGAAACATACGGAAGAACAATGCCGGAAAAATCTAAGCTTAAAACAGAAAAAGACGACACATAGCAGCAGCAGTAGCAGCAGCAGCAAGGTTAACACACAGACTCAAGCTATTTCAATCGATTCGCTATTCAATTCGAACACTCAATCGAGTAGTAGCTAGTCGAAAATAATGTTGACGATTGTGAAAATCTCACTACACATGAATCGAAATGAGTCTGAATTCAAATATCAAAATGTAAACATACGATGCATACAGTCATCACTCAATTGCACATTGGCAACTTCCCCCCCCCCCTGCATCCACTTTTAATGATTGAAATTGAGCTCAACAAGCCAAAAAAGTGATGAGAAACAGAATGAATACTGGCTAGGTGGAGGGATGAGAGAAACGAAGGAGAGAGAGAGAGAGAGAGAATGAAAAAAATTGTGAGAGTAATGCAATTCCTGAATAGCATCACTCGATATATATATTATATATATATATAAAGAATATCATGTATTCAATCCGGTTTCAACAAATGGAGCTTTTTGCCATTTGCCTCATAAATAGATCTAAAGTGATTGGATATGCGGACAGGAGTTTTGACATAATATACCAACAAAAAAAAAATATATGTATATCATAAAATGTATTTTACGATGCAGTTTTATGATTCATTGAAATTTCATTTTAAAATGCAGATTGCGGCGAATGCATTCTTGAAATGCTTCGGTGGGACGATTTTTCGAGTGGCTTTTTCGTTTCATGAATCGATCTCATTCACTGTTTTGATATCATACATCCATCGAATTCATTGAAAATGTGACTGAAATATTTTCATTTCAAGCATTTGTTACTTGATGCAATATATTACCATCGAGTGAATCGAATTTCGTCTTTGGTTCCATGAAAGCCTCCTTCAGTTCCATCATATTATAAGCTCAAATACCTTTTAGTAAAATATGTTACGTTTTCTGTTGCCATAATTAAAACTTGGCTTTCATTCAGGTGCCACGGCTAAAATTTCCAAGAATTTTCGAACGTTGAACAAGAAAAACAAAACAAAAGATTCCATGTTTCTGTGGTAATTGGTTGGCTGATTTTGAATATCGTGAAAATTGATTAAAATTATACATTATTTGCGACAGACTCGTCAAAAGGCCCCACTTTGAGTTGTCGATGTCGATGGTGTTTTATAATGGCGTTGAAATGGCTTGTCACGTGATAGACAATATTAGTTGCAACAATATTTCAAAAGTTTCTTCACTCTCCGTTCGATGTTATCCGCTTTTTGATTTACTAAAACACACCCACTGTCCCGCCACCGCCTTCCATCCCTATTTTGTGTTCGATGAACATGATTCGCACTGATTTGTTACGAGTTGCTGCCGCGTTGCCTGGCATGCATATATAACCTTGATTACAACACCATAATATATCATGCATCTTTTGCAGCCCCAACATAAAGACGTAATAAAATGAATGTAATGAAAGAGTACATCAAAAATGCCTGCTTTTTTACTCTATCGCTTTAATACAGCTAAATTCAATTTCCTCGGATACATACATAATACACTAACTGAATTTTCCATATTTCAAACTGCTCTCAAGTCGGTTTCGCTCTGTCTACCGATGCAACGCTTTTTCTGCATACTGTGTGTGTGTGTGTATGTGGAAATACGGTATTTTTTTTATTCGGTTGGTCTCACCATATGTATGCAGATGCGAAATTGTTGTTGGAGGGAAGAGAAGGAGAGAAGAAAAAAAGAACGGTTGCTTGGACAGCTTAACAAAAACAACAGCAATATCGCAAGCACGCACACGACCGAATAGAAGCAGAATAGTGGCGGTAACATTCCTGGTCACAAGCTATTCGGGTACGCATACACACAAAATACGTAAACATGCAAAATGTGTAGAGTATCACTTACGAATGAACGAGCAGAGCGACCGGCAAACGAAAGAGAATGGCAATTTATTTATTCAGAATGCATTACGGCAAATACGCACATGCATCGACCATAAAATGTAAGCTCGTGGCAGCATTTTTAGCTTTACATCAAAATCAAATAATGACCCGTATTTCTCTCTCTCTCTCTCTCTCTCGAAAATGAGAATAATGCGATAAAAATGCCATGCGAACAACAACAAAAAACACACACGCTCAAAAATCAGCATGTGAATTTGTAATTGTTGCGACATGATAAACAAGTGTATGCTTCACGGGAAGGAAACATTTAAACTGATTCGATCCTCTCTCATATTTGCGATCCTCTCTCATATTTTTTTCTTCTCTCTTTTTGGTCGACGATTCTCGGCTCACTTCTTGTTACAAAACTATTATGTTATGAACTATCCAAAATGGCGCTGGATGAGAAACACACAAACACACATCTATACATATGTTCAGTCAGTATCCATTTGGATAACCTTTTTTGAAGAGCCCAATTTCTCGAACGAATCATATACTCTGGGCGTAAAAGAGAATTATCTTCGAAATCGATGGCCAAATGGAAAAAAAAAGAAGAATGCGACTGAAACCAAAGTGCAGAAAAAGCAAAAGTTAATATCTTATCATAGCGATATGGGGTTTCGGAACATTTTTCAGATGATATTTTCGATATCTTAAAGAATTTTTTTCCTAGATTTATACGCCAGATTTGGTGCGGATTTTGCTTTCAACGTCCTTTTTGCACCCACTTGGCGAATGGGTTCCATTGAGCGATCAAGCAAACACACATGGATGCAAGATGAAATGTGGAAACAAAATCGCACACAATAAGTCCATTCGACGAACAACATACACACACTCACACAATGACAGCAGCATCAACAAAAATAACCATGGAAATTGCTTGAAATATCTTCGAACAAAGAAACACAGTTGTGCAGTCATGCCAAAAGATTACCTAGCTCCTTCGATTTATTGTGTGGGCTGCTGAAAATTGAATCATACTCGCCATATACTTATTATTTTACATTACACATATTTGGCGTATAATACAACGAAATATTCGGGATTTCTCAAGTGTTTTTCACTTCGACTTTTGTTGTTGTTATTATTATTTGCTCGTGTCGTTCCGTTCATTCGTTCGTGCAATGTCTTTCATGGCCTCACTTAAAATCTTTGCAAGTATGTATCCATTTGGATAAAGTCTTTTGAAACCGAAAAATCGGTATTTTGTCAGCTTTGGAATCAATTTGTCGCTTTTTATTCACCATAACACGTAAAATGGGTGCAAGCAAAAATAGCTAAAATATTTAAGATTTTTGTTATGCTTTTTTCCCCACTCTTTCTTCTGTAACAATTCAACATTTAACATGTGTATAGGATCGAAATCCAATAATATACACTTCAAGTATTTGCATATAATACACGAAACGACGATGGTTTTTCCACAACACACTCGCGCGTATCCGGAAAATCTGTTTTTTTTTCGTTTGCATGCATGTTTGTTTCTATTCAAGCGAATTTCCATTCGTAAAGTATATATTGTCATATGATGTATTTTCACTGGGACGAGAAATGCCTATATATTCGTAATACTCATGCATTCTTTGCTTTTTTTTCTTTATTCGATTTTCTGTAGGTTTTCCACTTGTCTTGAGCCCAAGTTGAGCACATCCAATTCAGTGTGTAAGTATATCGATGGATGTTATATAAAATTAGTCAACAAATGAACTAAGCACTTGAGGTTTTCCGTTGATGTTGTCATTTTTGATTTCGCTCTTTCGTCACATTCTATTAGCTTTTTATAACACCTAAATGCTTTCGCAGATTTATGAAAATGACAGGCGGAATTTTTTTCTGTCTTGACGTCGACAAAATGAATAGCAATCCGAAAAAAACACACATTATGAAAAACTGTTTAGGTGTCATAGCTTCGAGAACTCTAAAATATTGTCAACCGAATGAACGTAAATGCAAATATGTGGAAATACAAATAACGAAGTGAAAGTGTATGAAGGAAAAGAACTGCATATAATACTTCCGGAGATAATTTTTACACAAATCAACCAAATAGCATTGATACAACACAATACGTGATCGTTGGGTCTAATCACAAAAACTAATTAAAAATGACAAAGCGTGCAGCTCACTAATGAAAATGTGCTTATGTCTTATTTTAGTAATGGACAGAAAATCGCATTTTCCCTCACCAAATTGTGTGTGCGACTCAATTTTTCTTCTCGAAAAATAATAATCGAAATTAATAAACGATTAAGTTGAAACAAATTGAAACGTTTTAAGTTGGCAACTGTTTATCAGGATGAATTTTCGCTCGATGCATAATCTGGGACGAGCGCGCACCTTTTCACAAAATAATGAAATGTCATTTGACACATTCTTTACTTTCATCAAGCACTTCCATTACCGTTCTCATCACTGTCGCTGTTGCCACTTCGCTTTTGACATTTTCGCAGTAATTTCACTGTACTCACAAACTTTGGCTCTTTTCAATATTTGCCAATGTGCAGAAGCACGGATGGTCTTGCATGTTCGCGTCTCTTTTTATATAATGAATGTATGTATGTATATCGGACACTCTGTCGAATAGATTTTCTCATACGAAAACATTATTATCTGCGTTCTCTTAATTCTCCCTGTGTTTCCGAACATTATTACGTTAGGTTACTAATCTTTAATAGATAAATGGTATAAAAGTATTCCTTAATGGCTTTCCATTTTTGTATGATGAATAATATTTCTTACTTGACAAAAATGTTTGCTTCGGCGAAAACAATTTCTTTTTTTCGTTTCTTTTTCATCATCGTCGTCGTTGTTGTCATTTCCTTCGATCCTCTTATCCATTCTCCGTTCTCCTGCCACTAGCGGCATGTCTTTTGCCACTTTTATTCAATCAATCGTCATCATCAGCCCTTTACTTTCATAAACACACACACGCAAGCTGGTCATGTACATACATACATGATAGTATGCGGATGTGCGGTGCAACACTAGTGAACTGTATACTTTTGTTCTTCGTTGATAGTGTGTTATGGTGTTTTTTTCTTTTCTTCTTCACTTTGCTTAAAGTTAAATATTTTTGAACGATGTTATCCGCTTAAAAGCTCATCAATCTTTATTTTCTTTTCGGGCGCCTTTTTTTCTGTTGTTCTCTGTGTTTGCTTTTCATTTCTTCATCTCTCGCATCTCCATCATAAACACTTATCAGGATAGGATTTCTGTCATTTGCAGCACACACACGTTGTACACATCACTCGATGGTTCTGTTGGTAGGTTGCCACGATGAACACACACACACACACACACACACTTACTCCATCCCCCCACCCACATCCACATGTGCACATAGTTCTTTATCTTTTCATTGCTGCCATAAATATATTTGCAATAGCGGACGCTCCCATACCTTCGCGTCGTTGCTTCACTTGCTCCAATTTTGAGTGCATCAAACTGTAATGTGTATTTGACGAATTGATAATGGACGAACTTATTGCCATTGTTGGAATTTATTTGGGATATAATCTCTTTTCGGCTTGAAATACTTCGCATCGCAAGTCTTACATTGTGCTATTTGTTGGTACATAAATACATGTAGGTTGTTGCCAACCAACACTTGCTATGCTGCCACTGCCGTTTCCATCATATCGCAATATTATCATGCATACTGGAAACTGCTACACCGTTTGCACACATATCCAACAAAAATGTACGGAAGTTTTTGCCATTAGATGCTCTTAAAAAAAGCAGCACTCACAAAAACAACAACAACAAAATGATGCGAATATGTGTGTGCGTGACTGTGAGATGATGTGTTTCAAAATTGGCATCAACAAACATGGCTCTTCACTTAAAAATCCTCGATGATTTCATCATCATCACCGTCTAACTCGAATTGACAATGTGTGAGGAGAATGAACGGTAGAACGAAACCAGCAACAACAACAACAACACATACAAGAATCAACTCAACAAAAACTAACAGAATGGCAAAAATGATGCACTCCGCCCGCCCGAGTATGCCAAAGTCTTTATTTTTTGCGTATAAGTACATCTATACAGGTGGTGAGAAGTCAACATTTGTTTCGTAATTTCAGGTCGACTTTTTCGTTCATTTTCCCAATGTAAATGGTGTAACGCAAAACAGAAGGGGTTCGGCAAAAAGTAACGCAACACAACGAATAAATTAGAGTGGGCGAGCGAACAATGTACAGTGCAAGAGAGAGAGAAAAAGAATCACATCACGTAGAAAACACACCTCACACTCTTACTTTCGTTCAATGGGCTGCGAGGTGGGGATGTAGATGTGGTGTTCTCCCTTCATTTTTCGGTGCGCCGCCGAAAAATCTGTCGTTATGTATAAAGTACACGAATTAGCGCGCGGTGTCACTTGATTTCAATTTCGACGCTAATGTTTTAATGGATTCAGCGTTTGTTAAACAGACTACATAATTGAAATTTATTTGCATGCGCGCGTTCTCGCTCTCACATTTTACCAACACAGAAAGGAAGCGAAAGAGTGATTGAGTGTTGGAGAGTGAGAGGGAGACGGAGAGAGAAAGAAGAGCACTCATAAAACCCGTCCGGGATTATTCCCAGCCACTTATGGTCGTTCAGTTTTCGCAGCTCTTGGTCTCTCTCTCTCTCTCTTCCTCCCTCTCATTCTATCGATGCTCTTTATCATTATGGTTAGATTTTTTGGTACATGGTATTTTTACCGCCTTTCTACTCCACTTCTATTCATCCATTTCGTTCTGCAGCTGCTGCACAAACGGTGGCCGCATTAATTTAGCGCTTTCTGGCCTATTTTATCGACATTTTACCGAAGGCCGAAAGACACGAAAAAAATATCGCCCGTTCACCAATTCGATTTTATTATCTACTCACATATTTTACGTGGTCGATATTTGTTTAGAATGGTGTGTGTGTGTGTTGTTTTTTTGTTTTGATTTTCAGTGAGGTCATGACAGAGGTATATCCCACTCTAGAATCATTTAATTTGCGCCAGAGTTTTTTTTTCTCTTGTCGTTGTTGTTAATGGAATGAAAACTGGTTTTGGCTTGCATTGCTATTGAAGTCCAGTGATTAATATTTTAAAAGTATTTTTTTCTCCTCTCGCCGCTTCTGCTTCACATAGAATTAACAGTTACTTTCGGCTCTACTCCACACACACAAACTCCGTTTCCCAAGTTGAAACTTTTCCTTGATAATAATGTAATTAAATTTTTATGAAGAACGAATGTAGCCACTGGAATTTAGTTTAAAAGAAGAAACCTTTGAGTACGCCCGCAAAAATGAAAAACAAATAAAGAAAAAAGATAAGCGAAATGAGTTCAAATTGCACGCAAATGGGAAATGTAGAGAAGATTTTCTTTTTTTTTCTGGTTCGCGTGTGTGTGTGTATTTTGTTGTTGTTGTTGGAATTTCAACCAGTCAGTTATCGTTAATGCCATTGTACAAAGTCATATTGAGGCTTCAGCTTTGGAGACGGAGAATCCGGAAAACATGCCTGCTGCCGATTGACGACTGAAGTAAACTTAGAAATATCATAAAATCTACTTAATATGTGAAATCTTCTTCAACGTAAAGAAAAAAAAAATGCGCACACACACAAAATTCCAACACAAAGTGGAAAAAAAGGATTATATCTTTGAAATTTCATTGAGTATTGGCTTAATTTTTTGTTTGCATTTGTAGCATAGCATTACACATTTCATGAGACGCGTAAAAGTTCCCATTTCACCCGAAAATGAAAACACACTCACTTGCCGTTACGTATGAATAGAAACGTATTTGATTATTGTGCAGCGGAAGAAAAAAAACCTTTTTTCAATTATGTCGTATTAATACGACAGCCAGCACGACAGAGAGAGAGAGAGTTCGATAGAGGGAGAGGTGGATGAGGAGGCGGGGAAGTGGGAAACAAATTTTTGCGAATACATTTCCTATTTGTGATGAGCATGAGTACAAAGTGGCAAAGGAACTAAAATTAACTAGAATTCTAACGGAAGGTATACGAACTGGGACTGGGACAGACAGAGAGTGTGTGTGTGTGCTTGTGAAAGTTGACACAGACACACTATAACTCTTACTATGTGGATAGCATTGCTTCATCAACAGATACGAAATGTAATAATATTAATCAGCGAGAAAAGCGGAAATTAAAAGCATCATTATTGGGGGCTGCCAACAACAATGGTAGCAAGAGACGAAAAAAATTATTATCTCTATGAAACATTACAATATATGTCTACAGATCCTGTGGGTGTATTTTCGCGTAGCGTGGTTTTGTGTGTGTGTATGTGTCGTGATGGCAGGTATGCATACAATTTAAAAGAGAGAAGAAAATAAGACCGCAGAGCTTCGCTTCGCTCTGCGTTCTTGAGTTTTTAGTTACTTAATCTATTTTGTTGTTTCACAACAAACTATTTTTTGGCGCACTACATGAAATGTATTTCATCAAAGTAACTTTGAAGTGATATATTTATTTGCAAAATGAATGACAAGACCTTGGTTTTATTTCTTTTTTGAAATATACTGCCTTTGGTTTGAATTAAATGAATAATATGAGCATAGAATCTAAAATCACTTTAATTCTGGTCAAGACTCAGAAAATATTATACGAAAAATTAATGTAATTTTTAAACAACATTTGATAATAAAAATCTGAT